TTCCAGGTGTAGGGCTTTTGCTATAGTACTGCTTGTCAGGCACTGTGCTGTGATGTATGGGACTTCCTCCCTTTCCCTCAGGACAGCACTGCTTCTAGAAGACTGTTTTATTGAGAGTAGTAGTAAGGGTCATTGTCTGAACAGCAGCCAGGTAGTCAGAGGCCTAACTGAAAGAGGAGCAGACAGAAATGCAAACAAAATCTGGCTTTCTTGGAACCCTTCCTTGGGTTCGCCACTGCAGATTTCAGAAATTCTTCACTCTGAGTGTGGTGAGGCACTGGAACAGGTTGCCCAGAGAAGTTGTGGACACCTCATCCCTGGAAGTGTCAACGCCAGGTTGGTGGAGGCTTTGAGCAACCTGATCTAGGGGAAGGTGTTCCTGCCCATGGCAGAGGAGTTGGAACTAGATGATCGTTAAGGTCCCTTCTAACCCAAACCATTCTATGATTCTGTGTCTTCATCAGTGAAGATGAAGTGGGCACCCTGATTTATACAGTCCTTTTTCTCACCAGCCATCATTCCCTGCTGCTTTGGTTTACAGTTAGATTGTTTTCCAGCAAGAGGCAGTTTTAGGCTTAAATTCAAATCAGTTGGAAAACTCCCAGATCCTAGAGAAATTGGAGAAGATTGAAGTAGATCCACCTCCAGGTGTGAAGGACCAGGTGAATCTTACTGCTGTTTCTTTGTCAGCTGTGCAGGAAATCTGTGACTTACTGGTAACAGTGGCTCTTCAAGATGCTTTGTCCACATAAATCTCACGCTCCTCTGTCCTTCTTCTGCTCCTGTGAAGTCTTAGTACCCATAGATCCTGCTGTGCCAGCAGTAGAGTTATGCGTGTCTGCATGCTCCCAGGCTGAAGCCAACGGTATTTGATAAAAGAATGCAGTATTTCTTGAGCAGCACTTGTGAGCACATGAAGTGGAATCCATGGGAATAATACATCTTGAAGGAAAAAAACAGTTACAGTAAGATTAACTGTTCTTCCATGTTATTAAAAATATGGAAACTATTTGAAACTTATTAAAAATTTGGAATATTAAAAATGATCCAGATGAGATCTCAGAAATCATTCTAAGACTGTACATAAATCCAGTGTGTCATTATGGATGTTACATATCTGTGCATGTGTGCCCATAATGCCCATGTACCACAGTATGTTGTATTTATTTATTTCTAAATATTTTCTGCAGTAACTTCAAACTGAAAAGCCATTTGTAGAAACATTTTTTCTTTATTGATTTCCACCCTTTCCCTCACAGCTGAAATTTGGGTTAGACTTCTGTGTGACTTGTGCTTGCTCTCATACTAAAAATTCTTCTGTGGAAACTAAGGTGAAAGGAAAACCAAACTTGCTTCCAAAAAACCTCAATAAGTGATTTTATTTTTTTAGAAGCTGAATAGGAGGATTTATTTGATAGGAATTTAAATAGTTAGAAATCCTAGTTTTCTCAGAGTTGTATATAAAATCCAAGTCTTATACAGGAAAACAGGATTGGTTCCAACTTTGCAACTAGAAGGAAATGGCTAATTATTTGCAGTTTGTCCAGGAACTGCCTCGATATAATAGAAAGCAACTTGATCCTCACATAAAGGAGCACAGCAAACCAGTAAAGGAAAGGCTTAGTGATTTCCCTTGGAGATACTTTCGGCTTGGTTTAAAATACAAAACATTCTTAGATCTTTTTGTCCTGTATTGGAAGTTGGTGTGTTAGCAAGAAAAGGTCCTGCAGATTATGAAGACCACACGCAGCTTGTTAAAAATAGACTTGCCCAGGAGTCATGCATGGCTCTGCTGTGTGTGGCATGTGTGGCACTCCAGGCTTGATACACCACTGAGGGAGCAAGCGGAGTCCGTGGTTGTTAGGGAGGACTATTGTGTGCTCCTGAGCAAATAAGTACGGATCTCGAAGCACAAAGCACTGGGGAGAATTGTATCCAGGCTCCCTCGTGCAGATGGAAGGGTGCTGAAGTAATGAGCCTTTTGATAGCAAAGGAACGGTCCCGAAACCATTCTTTGCCATTATGAAAATATGTAAATAACATAAGACTCTGTTTCGCTTGTTCAGTCCTGTGGGTACTTGGTACAGCCGGGGCGTAGTACCGTGCTGAACTTCAGGCAAGGCAGATGCTTATCCTGCTGTTTGTCTGGCAGGTGGAAGAAACAAGTCTCCTTCTGGCTCAGGTCCACTAAAGATGGCTTAATGCCTGGATTTCTGCTGACCTGCTGGGCCTTGTAATAACGTATATATTCTGAAGACATGTTAATTCTTACAGCTTCTCTATTTAGAAGCTTGAAAATGCAGCATGAGAAATGTGCTGTATTTTTTGGCCATTCGGGCTGCTTCCTAATGACAACTCCCTTTTAATCAGCGATGCTTCATTCTTGCGCTTTCGTTTGCTGTCCAGAAAAGATACTTCAGTATGAAGCTAAGCCACTAATTACTAAGATTTTTTTTTACATTTTACTGTGTTACATTTGGCAATTAGCATTGGGTAATGGTGTTTTTTTCAAATGTATTATAAAAGGCAGTTTCAAGTGTCATTAACTACTCTGGCACATGTACATTGAAATTGCTTCATTACACATTTGGGGCTTGAAGAAATGTCCTGGCTTCCCAGTGTCAAAACGCAGGATAGAAGTCTTGTGCATATATTATAGAGCTCTGATCAAACTTAGATGAAGGTGCTGGCAGAGAGAGGAGGTGGAGAAAGTTCTTTTTGTACTTGCAGTAAGGACAACTCTGCTGAAAAAGCTGTGCTTCATTCATAGGTAGCATCATCTTTAGCTTGGATTTTGGCCTTCACAGTGTTGGCATGAGAGCGAATGGCAATGAGCTTGTTTTTAGCGCAGATAAACTGACAGCAGTAAGGCTTTAATTTTTTTGTGAAAGCAGACCCTGTTCCAGTGACTTGGTTTCCTTGATTGATTTTTATGCCCTCTTTTGTGCCCCGTTCCTTCTGAATAGAAAGTATTGCAGTTAGCAGTGATGGAAGGACGCGCTTCGCCTACTTGCATTTTGGTACATTTTTCAACACGTGTAATGGCGCAGCCAAACCCAACATGACAAAGTGTGTCATTTGATGCGCTAGTTGACTTTGTTTTTCTTGGAAGGTCTTCTGTGATCATAACGTTACGCGTGGTCACATGTAATTTATTGTTGTTGTCAACTACTCTGAGAATGGAATCACTTCACTAAGGCCTAACAGGACTAACAACGTGGAAGGTGTAATGAAAGACCTCCAGATCCCCAGCCTTGCCTAAGCACCTGCAAAGTTCAGAAATCTGTAATACATCATCACTTGTCGTACTTGAAGAGTATTATAGTTCGGTAGCATGTTATGTGGCATCTTTGGTAGTGAAAGTGTGAGTGCTTTTCAAATCGTATTTCTACAGCAATTTTTGAAGTGGTGTATTGAGCTGGTTGTTCTGCTGTAAGTTTTATTGCAGATTGTGGTGCATATCTTACTAGTTTCTTCTCTCTCAGCTTGTATCCTCTTCATTCCAAAGTAAATCTGATTCAGTAACGGAAGTATCTACCGAGAGTCTGGAGGATGGCCATTTTCTGCCAGCTCTGGAAGTTTGCTTGGTTTCTGTAGGTCTTGCTTGAACTTCTTGCTGGAACAACTTGTCCTGCAGAAGTCTTGCACAGAAGCTTTCAGCATCAAATTGAGTAGTTCAAATAAAACGAGCTCTTCTCAAACCCTTAATAGCAAAATGCCGTAATGTTAGGGAAGAGTTGAATACTACTGGTGTTTCTGGTAAAGGAGAACCAAAGAATGTCTGCAGAGGCAGTTAGATATTTTTTTCCCTGTTTTGTTTGCAAGTAACTTCTGCTTCTGGAAGTGAAAGTCAAATTTTATTTTTAAGCGCATAGGTTCTTACCTCGTTTCCTGGCTATGGTCACATAAAAATCTTTCTGCTACTAAGTTCATGATTTTCTTTCCCTTCAGTTATCTATAGCTTGTTTGTTTTATTGGCGGTCTACTCATTTGCAAGTTGGCTGTTTGAGTGTACTGCCAGCTATTCTTGATACAGTGGAATTATCTTCCTGCTTTCACTGGAGTTAGCAATATGTCTCAAGTTAGTGTCGGAAGTTGGATGTATAATACTTGTGATATATAACAGCTCTGGCGGAGTCTTAATAAAGATGTTTAAATACAGCTAGGCCCGCGGCACTCCATAAACGCACCCTGCTATTTAGTGCATTACTGCTTATCATTGCTCTTCACTAGTGGTCTTTCTGCTAATTTTAATCCCTGCAACAGTACTGCTATCGAAGCCAAGGCAAATTAATTTTCCATCCTATTTAATGATGACAGTCTGTATCAAATGCTTTATTAAAGACAAGATATTCTACATAATTATTAGACAGTATTTATTTAGTATTACAAACTTTGCATTTGCTAATCAGAAACAGTTGTTCCAGGAATTTGACCAGTGCTTGAAAGGTATTTAATTGTTATTGGACAAGCACTTTCCAGTGGGGAACTTGCATTCAGAACACAGGAAATAGTGTGTTTAGGAGCTTTTAACATACACTTACAACATAGTTGCTGTGACACTGTCTTTTGCCATATCAATCACAAGGACTTTAATGCTCCCTACGTATCCTTGCAGTGAAAATCCATTTTTTGTCTAACAAGTGTGTGTTGTTTCAGACTCCATGACAGAAAGATGTGTATAATAGGACTGAGTATCCTAATGGAATTGCAGAACCGACCACCTGCAGTGGATGCTGTGGCTGCTCAGATTGTCCCTTCAATCCTCCTCCTCTTCCTGGGCTTAAAACAAGTTTGCGCCTCACGAGAACTCACAGAACATGAGGATCATGCTAAAGATGAAAAACACGTTGCAGAAGATAATGGTAAAATCTCCCCTTTTCACATTGTGGATTTTGTCTGGATTTAATTTAAAGGGGGTAAGAAATTGCAGTTCATTTTTAAGACTCATTAGTCTGCTGAAAATAGCTCGGCTTACTGGGTGCTTGAAAGATCATCTTAGGAATTGATTTTTTCCTCCCAAAATGTTTCAGTGTATAACAGCTAACACTTTGTGAAAGGGTAGTATAGTTTTAAGAGTATAGTTTTAAAAGGGTAGTATAGATTTAAAAGAAACTGTTCCTAGTAGCTGACTATTTGAAAGACCTGTTTGGTTGAACTTTGAAGGAAAATCTAGCACGTCTTCTTTGTCCAAATGGAAAGTAATTTGCAAAGTGGGGTTTGAGACAGCTGAGGTTCCTGGAGTAGACAGACCTCTTACTGCTGTGTCTGCCAGAAGAGAAAAACATCAAAGAGTACCTGGTGGAGGGAATTGTAGAGAGTGAATTTTACACATATTTGCAGGCAAATATGTGTGGCTGTATTTGACTTGGAACAGGTGATAGATGGCTTGAGGTCTGAAAATTAGATTGGATGTAAGCAGATTGTGTAATCCATTCAAATTTCATACATGATTGTTCTGTAATGGAATTACAGAATCCTTCTCAGTGCATAGGGCTATAGTATGGAAACAGCACAGTAATTTTCAAATCTCTGTCCTGTGATTCAGTCCCTACTTGTTGCAGATATAGTGATCTTTACTCTTTCTAAACTGTTAACACAGGAAGAGCTGAAGGTTTGGAATTGGAGGGGGATTTTTTAAAATCTTGATTATAAGTCAGAAATATTTTTTCTTAAGTAAGATATAGCAGTTTTTAGGATTGCATGTTGGAGTTGCATTTAATTCAGGATGCAATAGCTGTTTCATAAGCGGAATGGAAAGTAAAGCTAAGAGAAAGATGCTATTTAAGTTTGTTTAAATAAAGGAGCACTCTGAAAAGCAGCAGGCAGGTATTTGGTCTACATTTGGTTTTCTCTGTTTTGTGTCAATTTGTGAAGTCTGTGCAAGTCTCTATTTGTTTGTAATTTAAAAGCACAGTGATGGAACACTTTGTCAAAGACAACATTTCCTCAAAAATTTTGGATCCTATAATTGCACAATGACTGCATAAATGAAAGAAGAAAAAAGATGGCAGTTTCACGTTCCCCAGGAGTGCTTAGAAACTAACGTTTAGCTGGTCTTGAACGTAGGAGACATTTTAACAGCTTAATTTTCTCAGTTCTTCTAAGATTTTGGGGAAGTGTTTTAACAGAGGATCGCCTTTCCAGCCAAAACCTAGATTTATTGATTGTTCTTCATTCATAAATCAGTTTCCTTATACTTTTTAAACTTTGTTTTACAAAACACATTAACGGTTTTGCAGAAGAGATACCGAGTGATGAGGAGGAAACAAATGAAGTGAGCCAGGCGATGCAAGAGAACCATGGTGGAGGAGGAGATGGAGGTGGTGGTGGTGGAGGTGGAGAGGAAGAAGATGAAGATGATGATGATGACTGGGATGAAGATGCACTGGAAGAGACTGCTCTTGAAGGGTTCAGCACACCTCTTGACCTTGAAAATGGTGTTGATGAATACCAGTTTTTTACACAAGCACTTTTAGGTATGTGTTTGCTAGTTGGCAGAATGGCATAACATGATGAAATAGTTTGGAGATGTGTATGATCATCACTGGGAAAGCCCCTTTCCTTTGTTATGAGTAATGATTTAGATTAGTGAAACTGGAAAATGTCATCTTGCTTTCTAATGTTAGTCCTAGGATTTTTTTGGCTTGCAAGTACTGCAAAAAATGAATGGTAGCAAATACAGCCAGAGATTAATTCTCTTCATGTTCTCTCTCAGAACTTTTCAGTCACAGCCTAAAGAAGTGGGACTTAGTCACTAGAGGGACTCCTGTATATAGAAATATTCGTTGCTTTCTAGATGTTAAAATCATAATGGAGAAATTATTTTCTCCCTTTCCTATTTGACTAATCCTGTGCTTATAGTTTTGATATGAATTTTAAATTAGAAGATTCACTTCATCATTGTCCATGAATAATGGTCACATGGTTAACTTTCTGTTTCAGAAAGCAGAGGATATAATTAAGTTCCCCAAAATGGATCGTCTCTATTACAGCAAGGATCCTGTGCTAAGAAAGCCAACAGGAATACTGTTTTGCAGTGCAAATTCTGTTTTAAAATCAATCAGGGATTCCATGTGTTTCATTTTGTTCTTCTGAAATTAACTTTCAGTGTAACCTGATGATCAGTTTTCATCCATTCCTATTCTGACAGCGGTGCAGAGCCGAGACGCAGCCTGGTACCATTCACTGACAGCGCCGTTGAGTGAGGATCAGAAGAAACAGCTGCAGGAGATTTATACATTAGCAGAACATCGACGAAATGCTGCAGGTGAGTCACTTCTCTGGGGCCATTTTATCTGTTGCAAGGATGTTGAAACTGCATCTAGTCTGTAACAATAGAGAGAATAAATCTCTGTGCTAATTAACATTTCCTAAGAAGTGTGAATGGGATATTGTGCTTATTTTATCCCTTGCCTGGAAGTGTGTGTTATTCAGAGAGATTACTGAGAGATTGCAATGCTTCCAATTGATTGCCGTGTGCTGCTGTTTGAAAAGGGCACAAACTAGTTTTGCACAATCCAACATTGGAAATGAAGAGCAAATTAAGGCAAAATCTAGCAGTCAGCCAGGCATTTGATGAAGGTGACTATAGATTATTATTTCTTTAACAGTTTTGTAACTTTTTAACTGCTAACATGGCCTTCACAGTCGGTGTAAGGTTTTAAATGTTTAGAAAGCTTGCATCTTGGAAAATAAATTTGGATTTAATCAAAAAGCACGTAGAATAGTGTAACATAAACTGATCCTGTAGAGGGTTAGTTTCTCAGCTCTGTCGTAGAGGTGCGTGCATTTATGCATTTAAAGGAAATCTGAGTGTAATTTATTACTGTAACTGCATTTAGGGAATGAAATTTTGACTCAACTGAGAGTTCTTTCCACAACTTTGCATTTTTTGCTGTATTGTCTCTGGGAAAAGTGTTCTTTATAGACTATTTTTCATATTCTTTCCCTTCTTTCAATTCTAGAGACTAAGACAATAGAACAACAAAGTGGCTACACGTTTGACAACAAAGGACTGATCACAGCATTTAACTTTGCTGGAAGTACTCCTGGTGGCAACTGAAGGATGAGCTACAAGGGTCAATGGGAAAGGTCTCATCATTACATTTTCTTGAAATCATCGTGACTTCTGAGTGTCAGGGGAGGGTAATTTAATGCTGCTGAAGGTTTTCTGGAAAATAGCAGTGTGCTTCCCCCACCAGAATGCTCTTTCTAACCAGCTACTGTAATGTACAAATTCTTGTGGTGTTTTTATAATTTGATGGACTGAAAGGAAACATTTGTCCTCAAGGAACCTGAATGACTGGGAGGGGCCAGGCTGCGTCTAATTGAGTTGCACTTCTCAGGTTTTTGCTGTGCAGAATTGATAGATTCGTATGGATAACAGTGCCTTCTGTTGTACATGGATTGCCTGAACAAATGGATTTTGGAGTGCATTATAATTTTTTAAGTGTAAGGACATTTCTTGATACACTGTAAGCCTTGGTTCCATGTTTTCCAGTCACCTGCTTTTTACTTCTTGGTTTAATTGTTTGTTGGTTGCATACACATTGCTGGATTGAGAATATTATCTCATCTTCCTTATTTGGTGCAGACCAAATGTGTAGAGGGAGGTGTCTGTTGGAGCTGCAAAGCATACACTGGTTACGTCAAACGGTCTTAACAAAATTGCAGATTTTCCCCTGATGCGGTAGTCTTAAATTATTTCTCTTAGCCATTACATAACTCGCGTGAATTATGATGGCACGCATGGCAGGTGGCTACCCTAAATCTACATTGATATTACCTCCTGCTTGGACAAGTGGTGTGGCCCTCGCATGTAGATGTTCTACATGACAACTTTTTATATCCGCTATTTTTGATGAATATTGGATTTTACTTGGGATTCTGTAAAACTTTTTTCTGTTTTTATTCATTCATTACCATTCCAGTGGTAGTACTGAACAATGTGGTACAAAATATTTACAATATTTTGTTTATCTTGATAGAAGAAAAACAGCTCCAAACTTTTTTCTTCTTACTCTTACACTTCTGTGATTGGATTTCTGATCTGCATTCCATTTGACTGTTCTTGTCCTATGCTGAAATTTCATTATCTGCAAATTTCTTCCTAAATTTCAAAGCCTGGTTTCTCATAAATTGAGACACATCTAATAAGGTGTTTGTGAATATACTCATTTAATGAAAAACTGATAGCAGTACTAATTTGAATAGCTGCCTCTCCTTTAGATCTGTTGGGAGCGCAGTGGTGTAGCCAAAATAAGTAGAGGTGCTTTAGAATGTGCAGTTTGGATTGGGGATAGAATGTTTAGACTGGATTTTGTCTGTATGTGTTAATTTCTTTATGACATAAAAATATTTACCAAGCAATTTTAAGCACATACTGATAATGTATTTCTTTAGAGCAGTGCCCCAACGGAAAAGTCGGAGCCCTTCCCATACCCCATCATATTTTCAATGACTGTAGCAAATTACAGATTGCCGGCCCTGCATTGTGCTGAAGCTTTCGTTTCTTATATGTCAGGTAATTATAATTCAGTCTGATAAATCTGAAGCACTCTACACCTTGGTTTCTGGAAGAGGGCAAAGCGTCTCTGCCTGTTCCTTGCCCCATCCCCTGGAATTTTCTCAGCCTGGCAGCTGTGGGGCAAAAGATTCCCCACTGTTTTTCTTTTTCCTGCACCTTTGTGTCAGACTCTCTCTGGTGCAGGTCTCTGCTGCTGCTGCTTTTTTTTTTCCCCCCACACAGCAGCTGCAGAGTAAAGTTGGCCCAGTTATGTAGGTTTTTCAACGGCTGCTACTCACTTTATAGCAACAGTGAAAATTTCTCACTTGTAGGTCTGTTGTGCATATGGAAAACCATGAAAATTCCAGGGTGAATTTCCAAAAGTGAACAATACATTGGGCTGCCTTGGACAGGCTCTTTAAGCTCAAGCAGCAAAGGGCTGGGGCATCCTTTATTTTGAATGTCAGGTTATGAAAATCATAGGTCACTTTTGCTAGTTTAGGCCTGGGGGTGTATCGAGTGAGACAGTAGGAAAGCATTACATCCAGTTTGTTTGTGAGTTTCTCAAAAACCATAGAGGTTTTGAAATCCTTCACGTATTTAAGAAATGTTTTTCGGAAGTTAAGGACATGGATAACTTCTCTCTTACCTGACAATTGAAGTTGAGTTTTAAGCAGGTAACCTGTTTAAGCCTTTTATTATTTTATTTTTAAAAAATGAGATTGTCGAGTTGGGTTTCTTTCAGAGCTCATTTTCCTTCTCTACACTGGCATGCAGAGTAGAAGAGGGAGATTTGTTTTTCTTCTGCTAATGAGGTTTCTCGCACAGCCACAAGTTCATATTTAGGAGTTAATGTGTTCAAGGAAAAATCTTCTTTTGCATAGCATTATCTTTGTGTCACTCAGCTGAACTATGGCTGCTCCCTAGTTCTGCTTCTTGTATACTTTTCAAATCAACTGCCAAGAAAATTTCATCCAGATGTTTCTTACAAGGAGTTTAATCAGCAGTGTGGAGTCGGGAATCTTTGTTGTCTATTTTGCAGTGGGGGTCAGAGATGTCTGAGGGGATGGCATGTAAAAAGGTTAAATGCCCTTCCCTTCCCAGGAGAATCACAAGCAAATGTTTCTACTGGCAAAAGCAAATGTTAATTATATTATTCCTTTTTTTGAAAAGGGATTTCATCCAGAAAGATTTATTGGGCTCTAGCCTCCACTTTAACATATGGTTCTCTTTTAACATGATAAATACCCGTTTGTACATGATCATAAATAGGTAATGGATTGTAGGGATTTCTTTCTGAGCTGTGTCCAGCTTTGTACTACATTAAAGGGAGAGTAACACAAATGTGCATTACTGTCTCACTTTGATGCCAAGATAATGATGGAATATCAGATACCAGCATCGGCCAACCAAGTGTGATGTATTTGCTGTTGGAACTGCAGAGAATCATGAATGTATTGTAGAATAAAACAAAGGCTGATAACCAGTGACCTATGTTGCCCCATGCCCACGTTCCCGACGTGTGAAGGTGACTCATATGAGCACCACAGGGGCTTTCCATAGGGAATTATCATTGTGTAGGTTACAATCATGGCAAATGTTAACTTACACGGTAAGCTGCTTTTTCAGGTAAAATTAACTGATCTTGGGTATTGAATTGCATATGCTGTTTTGTCACTCTTAAAAGGAAAATAATAATCACCACATGTTTTGGCTGCTTCTTTTTTGCTCTCTCTCAAAGTTCAAGTACTTGGTTTGCTTTCGTAACAAAGCAAAAGCTTTAATCAAAATGGCCAACTTCAGAAAGAGTGCAAAATATCAAGCTAAAGAAAAAGCTAAAAAGAAGACAAAAACCCTACGTGTGCACAGTCTGATTGAAATAAATGTGCTTTGGGAGCGCAAGTCAAAATATGTAAAGAATGTTACACAAAACGATATTGTGAGATTCTTTGCTTTAGGGGGAAGGGCTGCCTGTGGAGTGTCAGGGAGACATGCTTTAGGACATGCCTTTTGCCTGTGAAGTCCAGGCCATTTGTGACTCTGGATTCCATCATACATTGTAGAGGAGAGAAGGTAGGACAGTAGAGGATTTTTTTTTTTTTTTTACTATAAAGCAAGAGTCTGTCTTGAGACTTCTGTGAGCCAAAGGAATTATGGACAATATGAATGATTAACTTTCTTTTGTTTCCAGAATACTTTTCAGCCTTTTTTCTTCCCTCTTTTCCTTCCTTTTGCCAACCGCCATGTTATCAGATATTTCAGGAGATATTAAAAATATCTGAAAAGGTAAAGCGTAAACAAATTTTTTAAAATCCTATTGTTCTTGAAGCAATGCAACCTATCCATTGCATTTGTATCAATAGAACGAAGTCTCGTTTGACTTATGCAGATGATACAGAACTACAAAAACTTCTTACGTGTGCCTGCAGTTTGAGAGGAGCCTTTCTGTCATTTACTTCGTAATATGGGTGCTTTGAAATCCCCACACTTTGTACTGACATTTGCTCAAAGGATAGGCAAAAACCCCCTGTGTAATGGAGTACCCAGTCCCAGTTCTGAGATATGCCCTAGTCAATCTTTTGAGAAGATTTGACAGTCTGATGGTCAGTTCCTCAAGGATCTCCGCCCCTGATTGAGGATGTTCTTCGAGTCCAGGAGACTCTGTATCTTTGCAGGTGGACAGAGAATCACGTTTCCCTCATCACAGCAAAGCATGCAGTGGGTATGGCTAACAACTTCTTGACGTTAGGAGTGAAAATAGCACTGTCTTCTCTTGGATGTCAAATCTTACCCCAAACAGATGCAATACAGTACAGATGGATGTTCCCAATGTTTTAAAGGAAGCCAGATGCTATTCCAGATACCAGAAAGTCTTAGCATAAAGCCATATCTTAAAGAGGATGTAAGAACAGGCCAACAAGATAGCACCTCTTCCACTGCTATTACTTTTGTAGATACCACCACACAAAACCTGTGTAAACCAAAAGAGAACTAAAGCAGTGCTTGTGCACTAGACAGGTAGAAACTTCCCTGGCCTGCCAATCTCATCCCAATACTCACTGCAAATGCACTCTGATACTTTTAAAATAGAATATGCAACATCTGTATGGATATCAGTACCCTGAATCTGACAGCAGTTAATGAGAGGTAAAGATTTAGTGTGATTCTTCTCTGGCAGAGAACAGATGCGTCCCTTTAAAAAGTCTGGGAACCTCTTGTCCTGGCTGATGTGCAATCACCAATGGAAGACACTCAGTGGGATTACAGCCTTTCTTAAAGATTATCAGCATATCTCCTAGCAAAGGACTACCTAAAGTGCACTATGTGTAGGGAGGTAACTGATGAACAAGTCCTCAACTTAAGAGTTTTGGGGTCAGGAATTCAAAGAGAATCCGCAGGCATATGTAATTGTGATAAATTGGGAAAGTATCCATTTACATTGAGGTGATGTGTTTGATATGATCTCAGATCCGCAGCGTTCCTGATTTTGCCTGGATCTTCTAGAGGAGTGACCAAAAACTTTGTCCCATGCCTTTCTTCAGGAAGAGAACATGCTTGACTTGTTGTGGAGCCCCAAGTTTAGTGCAAGGCTTTGAACTTGGGAATTTTCAGAAATTTTCATTAGAAACTGGTTGTTGTCTGTATCAGAAAACTGAGGTTAAAGTGGTATATTAATGCGAGGATTCTCTTCATAGGCTGTATAGAGGTTCACAATTTTAAGTGCTTGGCTATGTGCGTGGTGGAGTAGGAGAAGAACTTTCAGATGCGTTGATTTCTCCAATGTGAATGCCACAGTGTCAGCTCCAGGATTCACCTGAGGTGAATGGAGAGTGTTGGTCAGGGGCTGCCTGCTGGACCATCCAGGATTATATTAGATGAAGTGAAATGCAAAACGGAAAAATTACTTGATAATTGAAGCTGTTGAGCAACAAAACTGAGTGTTTTCTTGAAATAAGGTTTTAATATTATGTTCAGGTATGTTTTAATTTTCAGGGTTCTTGCCCTTATGCAAAATACAAAATTACTTCATGACATGGAGGCCTGTTGATTTTTCACAGAACTGTTTACCATTGAAGGTGTTTATCCAAGAATTGTTCCTCTTTTTTAGATATTTTCAACATGCTTGTTAGTAAAGTTGCACATATCCCTTTTTCATTACTTTCCATGCATGGAGAT